ACTCTAGCTCTCTATGCAGGTGTTTGGGAAAGGTATTTTTTTTAGTGTAAACATCATCTTTGGTTATTTGTATAGATTTGAAAGTCTCTTTTGGTTCAGTATGTGAAATTAACTATGCACTGTGCTGTTGGCTCTAACTGGATATAATTTGGAAGCCATACTTCCCGAAAGGAACACCAATCACAACAGATTTTAATTACTGTTTTCATAGTAGTCCATCTTAAACCTACTTTTCCTTTTTTTTTTTTTTTAAAATGATCCCCATTCTTTTCGTATAGGAGACAGGGAATACTTTTTACTCTGAGCCACATAAAAATTAGCATAGATTTAGTTATAATTTATTACATTTTCTCTCTCACTCACTGTCATTGTCATCAAGTTGACATCTACTCATAACTGATCCTCTATTTGGTTTCCAGGACTGTAAATTTCATGGGAGAAGATTGCTCATAATTCTCTCATCAAGCCACTGATAAATTTGAATTCCCAATTTAAATCGTGTTAGGAGCACAACACTGTAAAGACAACATGACTGGAGCTCCCTTATTACAATGTTATTTATTGTTATATGCTATCAAGTTGGAACCAGTTCATATCTGACCCTCCAGCAAGTTTTCAGAGGACATAAATTACATAAACTAATTGCAGAGCAGCTGGTAAACTCAAATTGCCTAACTTTTTGTTGGCAGCACAGGTCTTTATCCCCAAGGCACCAGAGCTCAAAGCCTTATTAATTAGAAAGGGGTAGGCCATGACTTCTACCTACCAAAATAGTGGTGCCATTCCCTGTTACATGCTCATAGCAGATGTTGACAGTTAATCTGAAGTTTCCCCTAATAAAATTTTAAGCATCTTCAGAATTGTCAAAACCACTTTCTGTGATACATTCACATAATGGAATACTGTGCAGCACTCATAAGCAACAGTTTTGAAAAATACTGTATAATCTGGGAAAGACTGGAGAGCATTATGCCAAGTGAACAAACTCAATCTCATAAGGGCAAATACTGCATAAGGCCATTCCTCCCACCTAAAGTAGAGAACACCAAAGAACATTACTTATTGAAAAATACTAAGCCAATAGAAAGACTTAAAAACATGCAATCCTGGGTTTTAGAATATTTCTGGTAGCATAGACTATAAGGAGGGAACTCTGGTGGCCTAGTGGTAAGGAGTTATACTGCAGTCCAGAGGTATACGGTTTGAATCTACCAGATTCTCCATTGGGGAAAGATGGACCGTCTCCTTCCATGTGATTAACTAACTGTCTCTGAAAACCTGCTGGAGGGTCTGCTATGGGTCAGTTCCTATTCGACAGTACCCAACAACAAGAAGTCTGTAGGTAGTTGTACTGCTAACTCAAAGGTTTCACCTCTCTGGCAGGTGAACTCCACTGGAGAAAGTTGGTCAGCACCACCCATGTGACTTAGAACCTTGGAAAACTGCTGAAGGGCCAGCTATCAGTTGGAATAAACTCTCAACAATAATGAGAGAGAGAGTTCCCCAAATTGTCTCTCACGTAGATACATACTATGAGCTGACCTAAAAATGACCCAGAGAATGTAGCTTGGATATCAGAATGCTTGAAAATTGGCTTTTCTAGTCATTCTGTTAGCACTCATGGGAGCATGATTTTCAGCTACTTTAACTGAAGACACATGATCTTGCAAATCATCAGTAGCTGTGGGACCAATATATGGGGGGGGAAGGGGAGTGGGGAGAGAAGAGAGAGCAGGGCGGGAAGGGGGAGGATGGAGGGAAGAAGGGAGAGAGAGAACTTTCTACACTGGTAACAGTGGTGGAGAGAGGGTGAAGAGACTTTGGCAATGCTGTGAAGAGGCTGGCACTGCTCTGAAGAGTCTGTGGCAGGGTGTAACTGGAGGAACCCTGCATTTATGCTACAGTTAAAGATTTTGTTTGAAGGAAAAACTGAAGTGAATCCTTTCATTTAGCACAGCAACTCCCTGATGACTGCTGCTACCATGGGTGTTGATTGTGGATTAACACAGTGACTTAAAAAATGGGAATGGGCATAGCAGAATTATTCTGAAATGTAGGATTGTTTATTTTAAAATATTTTAGCTGATGGGTTCAAACAGACAGAGCTGCACAGCTTTTGGGTTAGCTGCACAACTTTCTCCACACTGCATAGCCAGAGCTCCCTACATTAAATACATGTATCTATGTCAGCTCTGAAGGCATAGTCTATAGTTTTTACGATGTTGCACTGCCAACCCAAAGGTTCGACCTCTGTCAGTTCAAATTATCAGCTGCTTCACAGAAGAAAAAGATATAATATCTTTTTGGATGATTTTCAGCCTTGAAAACCCAATGGACGATGAGAAATAGACATAAACTAATAGAAATAAATATAACATTACATATATATATATATATATATAAAGAAGACTCATTTACAACCTGTTGTGATGTTGGAAACCTTGAAAATTGGCTTTTCTGTCCATTGTATTAGCTACCATTGGGGGCATGGTCTCTAGTTACCATAACTGTGGGTACAGTGTTTTGGAAAAATTATCAGCACCTGTGGGAATAGTATAAGAAAGAACTTTCCATTCTATCTATATCTATCTATCTATCTATCTATCTATCTATCAAATCTATCTATCTATCTATCTATCTATCTATCTATCTATCTATCTATCAGACTCATCCACAACCTGTTGTGATGTTGGAAACCTTGAAAATTGGCTTTTCTGTCCATTGTATTAGCTACCATTGGGGGCATGGTCTCTAGCTACCATAACTGTGGGTACAGTGTTTTGGAAAAATCATCAGCACCTGTGGGAATAGTATAAGAAAGAATTTTCCACACTCTGTGTCGGTGATAGAGAGGTAGAGGGTGAAGAGTATGTCACTGCTCTGCAGAGACTGTGTTACTGCTGTGAAGAGACTGTGGCAGGGGCTAACCAGAGGAACCTTGGAGATGGAGCTATAGTTAAGAATTTTGCTTGCTGAATGATTGAAGGTAAAACTTACTTGTAAGTGCGCTGAGATAAAGTTAGCTGGATGATTGAGGAAACCAGAGGTACGTTTGTGCTGCTGAATGGAACCTGGGCTTTTACTAATTGAACAGTTTTGCCTGTTAATCTGGTTTAGGAATGCTGGACTAGACTTGGACTTGCATTGTGTAATATTCTTTACCTCCCTCCCTCTCTACCTATTTCCACAATAAACCCCACAACTGTAAGTAGAGTCTGTGAGTCTATTTGCAATGAATATTGGACCCAACGATTGGCAAAAATAGGAGCAAGAACATGTGGGGAGGAATGTCTGACAATGTAGCTATTTATTTAGTATTATGGATGTTATTGATGGGGACAGTTCCCCTTTAGGAAGTGAGTAGAAGTCAAACTCAGCCACCCTCACCCTGCATCTGCTTCTTACACAACTTGCTATACAGATGACATAGACTTGTTTGCAGTATGTGAAAAAGACTTGAAACATTTATTAAAGAACATCAGACTTTCAATATGGATTTCATTTCAATATCATGAAACAAAAATCCTCACAGCAGGACTAATAGACCATGGTAGACAGAAAAAGATTGACATTGTAAATGAAGTTACTTTACTTAGAGCCACAATTAACACTCATGGAAGCAGTAAGAAACCAAAAGATGTGTTGTATTGGGCAAATCTGCTGTGAAAACATTCTTGAAAGTACTAACGAGCCAGGATACCAGTTAAAAGATGAAGGTATCGCTGGCCCAAGCCATGGTGTTTTCAATTGTTTATTTCCCTACCTCTTTTTGATATTGTATTTTTTTGCATTGTGTTTTATATAATTATTTACCTTTTATCACCCAATCTTATCAAGTCCCTATTGCATCTTGCCTTTTCCTTCACTCTCTGCTGCCCAATTGGTTTTCACTTCCTTCCCTTTCTTCCAGCCCTTTGCCCCATCCTCCTCCTCTTATGAATAACTGTAAATATCTTGTACCAGTTGCTAATTACAATAACCATCTTATACTTTTTCCAATTCTTCTTGGGATTATCCTCCCTTATCTTTATCCTTTATAGTGTTCATTGATTGTACATTCTATTTCCAAACTGATGTCAAGTATCAATCCACAAAATTCAGGAAACCTCAGTACTACAAATAGGATAAACAAAAGGAGCCAGCCTATCCACATCATTGTCAAAGCACAGAATCTCAGTGCAAGGGTGAAGGAATTAGGAAAGATCTAATGGAGACTTCAGCAGACGGGGTAATAGAAGGCATAGACCAATGGTGATTCATTTCATAAAACACAGTGTATATTAATGATGGTATGAAACACAGTTGAATGAAGTAATGTCTGAAACACTGTACGTGAATGAAACATGTAAAAATTTTTGTATGCAATGTAATATAAAATAAAAAAAGAAAAAGAACATTAAAAAAAATCCAAGGAAATGATAGACTTTAAATTAACTTAATATCATTATATCTGAGGGAAGACAAGGAGATAGAAATGCAAAGGGGTCCAGGCAATTACAATCCCTGAATACATTGAATAAAGTTTTGTCATTGCTCTTTTTTATATTTTGGGTATATTTTATGGTCTTTTGTATCTCCTCAGTATTTAATATAAACAAAAATGAAATTGTTAAGCTTATTATTTGGGAGAGGGGATTTTTTTTTTTAAATTCCAGTGATGCTTTGGAAAGATCATTTCCATTGTGAAGTATCAGAGGAGGTCTGGGTTACGCCTTGGAGTAATTACCTGTGTTAACACCTTGTTGACCTTCCTGAGGACCCTCAGGAATAGACCTGACTGGTTCATGGATGAGTAATTCTGGAGGAAGTTTTCATTCTGCTGTGCACAAGCCTCTTCAGACAGTGTGAATCCCCAAATCATATTTTAGAACAAACCTGTGGCTCATCCTGTTGAGATCAGTGTTCACTGGCTATTGGAAAATCAGTAAAAACCAAGAGTTCCTAAATGCAAAGGGTTTTAGCAATGATTTCTAATGTCTTGCAATTTTGTTGTTTCACAGATTGATCAGCTGAAGCAGGAGCTTTCAAAGAAGGAGTCAGAACTTCTTGCCTTACAAACAAAGCTTGAAACCCTTAGCAATCAAAATTCAGATTGCAAGCAACACATTGAAGTGCTTAAAGAGTCACTTACTGCCAAAGAACAGAGGGCTGCCATCCTTCAGACTGAGGTAAGGCACCATCTCAGGTTTGTAGGCAGCAAATGCATTTTGCTGATTGAACTTGCACTATCGAGAATGACTTTCCTTAGAAAATCATGTATCCAAACTCTTGGGACCATATATATTTGTAGACCTTGGAAAGGTAAGATACACTGCATGCATTATAAATTATACACTACTCCCCATGGTGTTATAGCAGCACCCCATAAGAAAACACAGACAGTTCCAGCAAGAAAGAATTTTCATACTAAAGTAGAATAAAGACATTACAAGGGGCCTCCTGCTCGTTCTTGTCAGATTGCATCATCAAAAGATTTTGCTTCCCATTTGAATGTGTTTAGGGTTTTTTTCCCCTCCCTCTGCTTTTTGAGTGTTTTAAATTTGGGAACCACTGTTGAGCAATGATTGGAATGATTTTGTTTTATCAGAAAGAAAAGAAGTGAGGAAGTAAGAAACATACAGATAGTCATCTAACTTACTTTGTTGTGCATCTATATGGGATCTCCTTTACAACATCCCTGGTTTTATGAGTTCATAAGGAATGTCCTCAGTTTTGATAATCACTTTGTTGTTGTTATGTGCTGTCATGTTTCCTGCAACTCATAGTAAACTCATAGCCCTAAATCCTGCTCTATCCTATTGCAATCCTAATATCTCTGACACATCTACCCCCATTACCCCAGTCACTGAATCAATCCATCTCATTGGGGGTCTTCCTCTCCTGCACTGTCCCTCCACCCTCCCAAGCTGACGCCCCTCTCCAAGTACTGGTACCTCCTTGCAACATGTCTAAAATATGTCAAATGAAGCTTCAGAATCCTTGCCTCCAAGGAGCAGCCTGGTTTAATCCTCTCTAGGATGAGCCTGTTTGTTCTCTTAGCAGTCCATAGAATAGTCAACATTCTTCTCCAACACCACAGCTCAAAGGCATCAATTCTCCTTCTATCATCTCTAGTCATTCTCTGGCTCTCTGATGCATAGCAAGTGATTGTAAAGACCATGGCCTGTACCAGGTGCACCTTAGTGTCCAGACTGACATCATTTGCTCATTTGTTCTTCAGTACTTTGGAGAGGTCTCTAATAGCACACTTTCTCAATGCAATATGTCTTTTAATTTCCTGGTTGCTGGTGCCAATAGTGTTGATTATGGAGACAGGCAAACTAAAACGGTTTACAATCTCGATCTTTTCAGCATTCATCATGATGCTGCCAATCTGCCCAGTGGTGAGAATCTTTGTTTTCTTTGAAGTTGATCTTCAATCCATACTGAAGGCTGCAGTCCTTGACCTTCTACAGCAAGCACTTCAGGTCTTACTCAGTTTCAGCAAGCAGGGTTGTGTCATCTGCATAATGCAGTTTGTTGATGAGTCTTCCTCCAATCCTGATGCCACATTTCTCCTCATTGAGCCAAAGTCCTGGATAATCACTTTACCCACTGAAAAAACTAGGTATTTTATGTTTTTCTAAGGAAAATGCTAGTTTGCAGTTTCCTATTCAGACTAAAAGGGAAAACAAATATATATTACCATTATAACTTCTTCTCATTGAATTATAACTTCATTCTGCTGAGAGATGCAAAGCACAAAGTTATTGTGTAAATACTATAGTTGTCTGAAAAGAAATTGTCAGATGTGCAATAGTGAAAGTGGTGGATCTCATTGGTTTTTGTGTTCAAACAATGTATTATGTGGACTTCTTTGGGAGAAGTCAAGATGTATGTTCTCTCTTAGGCTCTGGTATCCATGTCCTAGTGTGCTGTTCAGTCAGAACCAATCTATAGCCAGCCCTCCAGCAGGTTTTCAGAGGCAGGAGCAGATTGTCCATCTTTCTCCCACAGAAGAGCTGGTAGTTTTTAATTGCGTGCATTCAGGATTGAAGCACAACTTCTTACTGGCAGGCCACCAAGCTCTCTGTTAGCCATTTCTTTCCATGTATATTTTTGAAGAAGCTATAGTGTCTTCATTGATTTTGTAAAATCAATGACTTATTCATTGCAAATACATTTTATAAGAGACACAAA